GGAGAGGAGGAGGGACCTAGGGGGCCTTTTCCAGCTTCACCAAGGGGTTTGTTTTGAGGATGTGGGCTGTAAAGGCTGCACTGTGTGTCCTGCTTCCCATCGTAACTAGAGTGTAACGCATCGATCAGTGGAAGACATACGGTGCATCCGTTTGACCCCTGGAAGATGGAGAGAGTGTGTGGGTGGAACAGGACAGTGCTGAAAGGCGAGAATGGCGGTGTGGTCTGTATACTTTATGATGTGGTTAGAGGTGGTGCTGGCAGAGCAGTCTGATGTCAGCAGTGTGAAGAGTGGGGGTCTGAGGCAGCAGTGTGAAGAGTGGGGGTCTGAGGCAGCAGTGTGAAGAGTGGGGGTCTGAGGCAGCAGTGTGAAGAGTGGGGGTCTGAGGCAGCAGCCTGGCAGGTCCTACAGGAAGCAGCACCCCAAAGGCCAGAATACTTAACATAACTGTGTACTTAACATGCTTCACAGGCACTGGGGGTTTATACTGTGTTCGGAAGGACGACCCCCAAGTCAGGCGTTAAGTCTGTTTGTTCACAAAGTGTCACATGTAATGTAAAATATCTACAAAGAGTGCAGGCTAGTATTCTAGCCCTATTGTTGGGGCTGATTACGAATTGTCGCCATTTTCTTGACATGCAGAAGCTGGATTCTGCTATGTAAGCAAATGCATTGTGTTTTGTCTTTTTTGAAGATTCTAACAATTCTCCATTTGAATTAACTTCGGGGTACAAGTCAGCAGGCTACAGACATGTACCTTTGACTGGCAGAGTGATCATATCACTGTCGGACCTTCAGCAAGACCCTTAACCCCAACTGGTCCACAGATGCTGGCTGATCTGCTCTCTCGTACTCACCTGTACATCAATTTGGATAAAATTGTCTGTTAAATAAATTAATGTAATACTCTACTCCTTATGTTTGCAATGCTTATATATCAACATATGATGTAAAACAAGATATTAAAATTTAAGGCAATATAGGGTGGCCTCTTACATTTGCATTTACTTCATTTAACAGACGCTATTGTCCAAAGCGGCGTACAAGTCAGACAATTAGCTCATTACAGACATACGGCCAGGAGCCACGAGGCATAAGTGCGGCTGGGCTGAGCTTCTGATGGATGCCCAGGTACAGTGTGTGCTGTACGGCACAGGAACTACAGAACTTATAATGAGCAAGAACCCACAATGCAGCTATTCTAATCAGCAGAAAGTGCAACATTAGTAGCATTCAGATACTATGGAGTAGTGACTTCTTACAGCAATGAAAAAAATTAGCAAGCTTGTTTCAGTTCACAGTTACTTTTTTAGCCAACCGCTAAAGTTACATATAGCATGAAAAACCCAGTAGACACAACACAGACACAGAGAACACAGTGAGGAAGCTGGGAGCTGCAACCATGTCCAAGGAGAATATCTATGCAAACATCAGCAACACTTCTGACCAGATCAGGAAGAGGAGCAACGCAACTCAATGTCCAGGTAAAGAGATAAAAGCAAATTAAGCAATAAGGGCAATGATTTACATTCCCCATTCCTGATTCAGAAAGCCAGATTAACTGATAGAGACACTTTAGAGCTAGAAAAGTTACTAAACTTACTTCCATATGACTCATAAACCATATGGATCTGCACAGACAAGGTGGAAGCCAAGGAGCATGTATGAAGGTAAGCTAGTCATGCCAGAAAAAGTTTCTTCTGAAAATGTTCAGTCTGAAGTGAAACGCACCATCTATCAGGAAACACAGCGGCATCGATCACTGTGGAAGTGTGTCTCTGATGCCTTGTGTTTTCCAGTGAGCCTCAGCAATGTAGGTGTTTGTGTTTCCCAGGATCTGAGTCTGCAGGGAGACGAGACCACAGACCGGCTGTAGTGTGTCTGGGGCTGCTGTGTTTCCTGCTGCTGACGGCCCTCATAGTGCTGGCTGTTTACTGTGAGTCTGTTAATACTGTTAATATGAAACAATTATTGTTTTCTCCAGAAAATCAAGACCACTTAGTTTAAGTTAATTTAAAATTTTATTTTGATAACAACAAACTGTATATTATTATAGGGCTTTAGATAATGGACGCCGGCTTTTCAGCATTATTTTCGCCCACAATTCGATAAGCAAATTAGCAGTATGCCTAAAATGTTAATGGGATGCGTATTGTGACGCCCAAAACTTAGTAATCTATATAAATTTGCCGTATCCTTGTTCTTATTAAATTTGGTTAGCGGAGAACGCCACCTGTAACTGGTTTGGTAAATCATGGAAGTGATAAGCAATGAAGTCAAGAAAACGACAACAGAGCAACCATGTCTGTCAAAAGAGGAGATATTGTGGATAAACAAAGTGAAAAGATGTTGGTGGTGTGGCGCTAATTTGCTGATTAAAGTCTGACACGTTTTTTCTTTTTTTTTTTGTAAATATAGTTTTCATTTTAATTTTAGCCTAAACATTTTGCCAAAGAATTATTAGATGGAGATTATAAGGTAGCAGACAGACAACTTTATGGCTTTAATGATGAGTGTATTTAGCAACTATAAGGACAAAAATATTAAAATTACAGCAGCGTAGTAGAAGAGTCTGCATTGTTGATTGGCCTGCCTGCAGTCGAGACCTGTCACCCATTCAAAATATGTGCAATTTACAGTGTTTGGGTCGCTAGTGACCCAGCACTTTTTTGCAAAGTAAATGGCAATAAATTTATTTATATGCTAACATGGCATGCACTGGGAACGGCATCCGCACTGACCCTAACATGGCATGCACTGGGAACAGCATCCACACTGACCCACTATATTGCCAGAAGTATTGGGACACCTGCCTTTACACACACGAACCTTAATGACATCCATCCCATTCTTAATACACAGGCTTTAATATGGAGCTGGCCCACCCTTTGCAGCTATAACAGCTTCAGCTCTTCTGGGAAGGCTGTTCATAAGGTTTAGGAGTCTGTTCATGGGAATTTTTTACCATTCTTCCAGGAGAGCATTCGTGAGGTCAGGCACTGATGTTGAACATGAAAGCCTGGCTTACATTCTCTGCTTGAATTCATCCCTAAGGTGTTCTATGTAGTTCTAGAGTCCAGCTCTACAGTCCAGTGGCAGCGTGCTTTACACCACTGCATCTGACGCTGTTCACTGCACTCGGTGATGTAAGGCCTGGATGCAGCTGCTCGGCCATGGAAACCCATTCCATGAAGTTCTCTATGTTGTGTCTTGCACTTGCCTACAGTAAATGAGAATTAATTCCCAGAGCCAAGGTTCGAACAAACAGGTTCCTTTTATTAGTTTTGCAATAAAACAGAGGTAACAATTAACTAGTTCTCGCTTCTCGGCACCCCATTAATCTCGTATTTTCTGTTGGCGGGCAACCCTATATATCACGCCATTTCAACCAATTACCAAACAGGTCAGAGGTCAACAAATTAACAGTTTTTTGTATTTAAAAATATCCCCCTCCTTTTATTTTAATCTTGTGTGTGTGTATATACATACACCACACTCTACACACTGTTCTTGAGCTAATCTGAAGGCCACATGAAGTTTAGAGGTCTGTAGCTGTTGACTCTGCAGACAGTTGGCGACTTCTGCACACTGTGCACCTCAGCATGCGTTGTCCCCACTCTGTGATATTGCATGGCCTACCACGTCATGGCTGAGTTGCTGTTAGACCCGATTGCTTCCACTTTGTTGTAATACCACTAACAGTTGACCGTGGAATATTTAGTAGCGAGGAAATTTCACGAATGGACTTATTGCACAGGTGGCATCCTATCATGGTACCACGCTTGAATTCACTGAGCTCCTGAGAGTGACCCATTCTTTCACAAATGTTTGTAGAAGCAGTCTGCGTGTCAAGGTGCTTGATTTTATACACCTGTGGCTATGGAAGTGATTGGAACACCTGAATTCAATGATTTGGAGGGGTGTCCCAATACTTTTGGCAATATACTGTAGTGTATGTACATAAGGGTGAAACATATGAATATAAATAAATACAAAATTCTTAAAAATTACAGGGTTAGAATCCTTTGGAGTGAGACACAGCCACACTTTTAGGCATTTTCAGGATTGCCAACTTTCATGCATCTGGTATGACATTTCATCTAGTATGACGATTTCAGACTCACAAGCTTACGCAAGAAATCTGATGGCAAATCTATATTATTCCATTATAAACCTAAAAAATTAGCTACATCAAAAGTGTTTGTGTAGTTTGCAAACCCTACAGACTATTTACAAGATAGTAAAACTTACATGTAAGTGTGTGTGCATGTGTGTGCAGATTTCTTGAAAACCTCATGCCAGGCAGCTAACCAAACGCTGCTGACCTTATGCACAAAAAAAAGTTCATTCCGTGATTGTGACTCCAGTTTTTCTCTACTTGACTGATGCAATATTTGCACATTAATGAACACTGTTTGCATATATCTTTGTTGTTTTCTGTTACATAATTGCACATATTATTGAACTACTCACAACGAAATTACACATCTTTCACTCCTTCTAACTTGCACTTTTTTGAAGATACTGTTATTATTTAAATATCTGTCTGGTTCAAAATGTCATATTGAACGGTAATACTTGCACATACCATCGAAACACCACATGTAACTAATTTGCACATTTTCCATGTCTACTTAGGTTTAGAGTTTATAGTTTTATCTTCTCTACTTAGGTTTATAGTTAATATTTCTATGCTGTATTTATTGTATTTATATATGCAAAATCTATGTGCCTTTTGTTCTGTGTACTATGTAAAACTGGAGCCACGTCGTCCCATTTCTCTGTATACTTGTATATAGCAGAGATGACAATAAACTACACTTTGACTTAACCAAAGTTGGCAACCCTGCTTCGTAAGCGTGTTTAAAGTAGCTACTAGCTAACATTAGCCATCTGCTTTCATCTGGACAAGGGAGGTGCAGTGATACTTCTGTTGACTGAGCAAATATTTCATTCGCTCAGACATTTAAGTGGCACCGGAATCTGCATTGAAATAGGGTCCACTACAACTATGATCCACTGCAGCGCAGAATGACTCAAAAACCCTGAAATGTCTCTGTTAACCCATTTCAGGCAGTTTTGGTGCATTCCATTTGCCCTCGGAACTCGTATTCTCAGTCGGATTCCGAGTTTTGAAGATGGAAGTAACGACATGCGTGCTCCCGTTTCTCGGAGATTTGAGAAATATCTCGGAGCAGCACAGCTCATTTAATGAGCACATTTGTGGCTCATTAAATCGGTTGCACACACTATACCATCCAACTTATCTGTGGACGTATTGCTACAGAGTTTTATACGTAAAGCACCGCGTGTAATGTGTTAACAACTGATATTGCTAACAATGGAAATTAACCGGGCTAGAATTGGATTTCATGATTAGTCTGATTATTTGTCGGATTTATGGTAGTTCGGGCTAATTGCAAGTGAACGAAGATAAAGACCATTTAAACTGAGGTACCTTAAATCCTAAAAGTTGTCCCGCTAAGCAAAAAATCTTGCTTTTTGATATGGGTCCATGGTATTCTGTGGCAGATGGAATGCATCCGACTTGCGTTCAAGATGTTCAATAAACATGTTAAGTGCATATATATTCCCTTTTTTCTTGAGTCTGTTTGCTCATGCAAAATGAAATGCGATTAATATAGATTAAAAATGAAGGCTATTTAATCGTGATTAATCGAAATTAATCCACAGCAACCCTGTGATTAATCTGATTAAAAATTTTAATCGTAGCACTAATATATACACTCACCTAAAGGATTATTAGGAACACCTGTTCAATTTCTCATTAATGCAATTATCTAATCAACACATCACATGGCAGTTGCTTCAATGCATTTAAGGGTGTGGTCCTGGTCAAGACAATCTCCTGAACTCCAAACTGAATGTCAGAATGGGAAAGAAAGGTGATTTAAGCAATTTTGAGCGTGGCATG